TCTCAGACTTTAGTGCTAAGTCGATTTCCTAGTTTAGTTAAATGATCGCGTAGTGAAGTGTATAAAATTTTGACTATTACTACTTTCCTGATGGAGCCTTGCACTCCATTGGCTTGAATTCAGAATACCCTACGATTCGTCTAATTAGACAATGAATGAAAAATCATCTTAGTGTAAGTACCGAAATTGTGTTCGACGTAGATTTCAGACTTGCATTGGTCAAGAATACTCAGCCATCGCAAACAAATTTTGAGTAAATGTTCTTTCGGCAGACAGTTCGGATAAGTCGCTCGTGGGATGACAGTAATGCGTGCAACGTGGTGATGGCCAGGAAGAAGTGGGGAAAGAGGTCGTGACTGGCTGCAGTCGTTCGGTATGTGTTAAGCCTTTCATCGACTGAGCAGTCGTTATAGCTACGCCCAAATACGGTCTATATCGCCGAGATTTGAACCTGTGAACCCCAATTTGATAGGCGCGATTCTTACCTAGTCGACTATGTGGCAGCCAAGGTTTTTTAAGCTTTACCAATTCATAAAAGATGTACGCACTCTGTCGTCGTGATGAAAAACAATGTCTTTTCTATTGATTAATTCTAGTTTCGTCTCGATAGCTAGTCGTATTTCTTTCTGAAAATTATACATTTTTCAACATACCACAAGGTAGTCATCAAGACATACACTTTTTGAGAATGGCAGGGGAATCAACAAATTTTCTTCGTCAGCAATACTTTTGTGTGCAGCCTTCACCTCATATTCACTTTATTCTTTTGACTTTAAAGTCTTACGGGCAAGTTTCGTTGATAAGAATACTTTTCCAACATTTTCCATGATAAGTTTAATGGAAAACCTACCACGATCCCACATCAGGATTAACTATACCGGACATGTTCGCTATATTAAGCACCCTGACTTGGGATAGATACACCTTCTATTATATCGATCGATTAAGAACCACTTTCTGCATCGATCTAAGCTTTTCTGTCCGTCTAGTTTTCGCGTTTGTGTAAAATGATATTGAACTTTTTTTTTAGTTTGGAAAATTATTGAAGCGGGCTCTGCATGAAAACGATTGTCCTGCCTCTGATAATCCTTTGCGCTGAATTCGATAGATGGCTATCCACCGAAGGTATACTAAAATTTGTTTAGCTTTTTCGTGAAAACGATTTTATTTTTTTAATCATAATCAACTAAATGAAAAAAGTTCAAATTTAATTCTAAATCTTTATGTCGTTGTAACATTCGCTGTTACTTATTCTGAGATCATAAAATTTTTTAAAGAACAAGAATCCAGCGGTTGTCGAATAAGCCGTCGCAGGCTACTTACTTTATGTTTTTTTCCTTTTCAGAACACATCTGCAATTGTTAATTTCTGTCTGTTTAATAAAAATTTCGAAGTTAATATTATTAAATAAAATAGAAGACATATATCCGTACATGCGGAATCACATTGAATTTAAAAAAATAAAGTATTTATACTAACAAGGTTTAACTTTAATTGCTCTCATGCTAAGGGAGTAAAACGGAAGGAGGCATTGTTTTAGCTCCCAATTAAAATTAAAAATAAAAGGATCGTAATAACAATGAAACCACAGGCTGTCAAAAAAGGAAACCCTACAAGTAAATTATGGAATTATGATTTTATGATGGCGGCAACATAAATATGATCATGGTTGTTACTTTACAAAAAAACAAAAAAAAACAATGATTTAAGAAAACAGATACAAAACAAAAAAAAAACAAGCAGAGGGCATCAGGTAACAATTGGTTTACTTTAGAAATGAGAGAAACAGGCTGATCGCTGATATGATTTTCAAATTTCAATGAAATTGATATTAAAGGCGCAAAATCATTAAATGCCAGTCAGTTAAAACCAAACATGCTCAGAAGGGGAAACAGGGAAAGAGAAGAAGAGCGAGAGAAAATCTGAAATTCACTCACTTTATGAAAAGGGTCACACTTTTGCGTAATAGATAATTATGTTGCTTGTATATTGAAGAGAAACTGCATCCCTCTCTATTTTAAAGAAAACTACACCCCTCTTACTAGTTGCTATTTTGTGCAGATTTATACATGTGTAAGTAGCACAGTGTATAAAGCCTTACCTGCGATGTTTAATGTCGTACGCACGTATGTATGTTTTGGTAAAGGATGAAATATAAAACCAACCCTCTGCTTGCATACCAGTACGCTAAAGCAATACTCGACAAGTAGGAGTGAAAGAGAGCTAACAGTAAAACCCATAAAACTTATACGATATTAAGGACGAACATAACACCATCACCACCACCATCATCATCATTGTCATCATTTTCCTAAACTAAATATACCAAGAGCTGGCTGTAGCATATATGAAATATTTGCCATTTCATTCAGACACTTGCCGCCGAAAAGCGGTAATTGTATTTAATGCTAACGATTTAACGATTCCTTATTTAGTCGATGGTTAAGGGTCGTAACGTACGTAACTTATATAGCGCTAGTTTATCTGTTATTGTTATTATTAACGTGTAAAGTGATTTATAATAGAAAGTTCATTAAAAAAAAATTGAAATAATAATAATAATTAATTAACTCGAAAATTTAATTTATTTAATATAATAATCGTTCAATTAAATAAAAAAGATTAAGAGCAATAATACATACAAAATGCTTGAAGATGCAATTTTGGAGAAAAAGTGCAATTAGAATTGTTTTAAATCCAAAAAGAAGAAGAAGAAAACAAACGAGAATTGATACAACAAAAACATTTCTGTTTTCTTTTTCGGAAGATTCTTGAAGAAATTAAGAAAAAGAAAAACAAAAATAAAATATAAAACCTTGTTTTGTTGAAAAGGTTTCATTAAATAAACCAAAAGAAAATTTTACTAACATTTTCTGATAATGATGACTACAACTGCTCATAACATAATGGCTCCTGTTATGCGACCTCTGCAAGAAAGTGCTGTTTCACGACCGCGTGCTGTTTATAGCATTGATCAAATTTTGGGTACCCAAACGAAACGTAGCGGTAAGTGCGCTCAAAACACAATTCTGTTTTCTTTTTCGAACTTAAAAAAGTCGCCGGTGGAAAACACTTTAATTGAATTGAAAAATAAATTAAATTATTTTGAGTTATTTTTAAATCTATCGAAGTTCTATTTATATTTTTTTATGACTTCTATATATTTGATATATGAAATAAATTTGGAGGAAGTTTAGGTATCTCCTTCCTCTGACATTATCTCTTAGGTCGTATTTAGGTTTGAAGACATCGATTTTAAGCTCAAAGTAAACTTTTGCTCCCTACCAAATAGTGCTATTAAGTTTTTAATTTCAACTCAAAAGGAATTTTTTATACGTTTTTTAGCCAAGAATATGCATCAAAAGCCCATAAGGTGTATAGGTTAACAAGCAGAAGATTTGCAAGGACAATTAAAAATAAGCTTTAAAACTACTAAAAGGGAACTGCGAACAAGCCATATTCCCATGTGTAAAATTGGCGTGCTCCGAGTTGCGGATAACTCTGTTTGCCTAGACAAAGCTATGACACCTGTCACGGCATAAAAATTCTAAAGGATCCACAAATTCAAATGATCGGAAAGAAAATAAACAAGTAAGAAAGTTATATACGGAGGGGCCGAATTTTCCACACCCATCACTATGTTTTTCGCATTCTACACTGCAAGTTCTTTTATTTGATACCCATATCCGTAATCTACCATATTCATTTTAAAATTAACCCATTTTTAGGCAGATAACACATCTTCATTTAAGGAGTGTACAAAATAGTTTTAAACATTCGATCCTTTTCGCTTTATGATAAATAAATATAAAAGTGAAAAAAACAAAATTTAATCACTTGTAAATTTGTGTGGGCATGGCGGATGTTTTCCATTTTCACACGTAAGGAGTAGAGCGCTTCGTAGAGTAAACGCGGAAAAGTTCAGGCTTCTAACTGTAATAATTTCCGAGTAACGAGTAAAAATTCTAAAATTTTCTCAGCATTCTATAGCTTTTCTTTCGAAAACTAGGAACACTTGGTCAACTCCTCAATACGTTTTCTTTTTTGGTTGATCTTGAATCGCAGTCAAAAATGTCTATGCTTGGACTTAACCTTTAATTAAACAAAACACTCCATACATCATTTATCAATTAAATGATTTCAAGTAATGTTTTCCTAAGTCCGCTGATGGAGCTGAAGTCTGCTTTTTATTTCTAGGACCTTTAGATATTGAACCTGGAATTGCCAAGAGTATACAGAAGAGGCGATTAAAAAAATCCAGAAGTGTTTAAAAATCTGAACGTAATGTTCAATAATCATTTTTCACAACTTTCGCTGTTTCTTTCTTTGGCTTATAAAAATATGTTTTCAAGTTTGGTGTTTAGCCTGTAGCTGGATAGAATCCCTAAGTTATTAATCTCTTTTACGCTTCGGCAAGTTATCGCTTTTTATGCCCCCTCTGTCTTTTCGAATTGCTGAAGAGAAAGAAATTATAGATAGCAACCTCCTGCTGGTACTTTGGATCGTGGCACTAGACGTAATCTTACCAAGTGTCCTTACAATGAACCATACCCCGATGTGATTCTCGATTACACGTGAGAATCATTGGAATAATTGAAATGTTATTGTTTTTTGTTTGACACTCATTTATATATTCGAGCAAACTGCTTATAGTCATAAAATATTGTGCTCATGGTGTACATTGGCGCGAGTTAAGTGATATGCATCAACATCATAACCAACCTTTTAGTCCAGCATTTAGCAAATGTCTACGAACTTTCCTTTTGTTTTATTTCGTCCTTTATTGCTTGTCATTTGCTATTAGATATTGAAGTTCATAATAGCTTTCGAAACTTATCGCCTTTAAGATCCGCAGGATTTTAGTATCATTTACTTCTAAATTCATTATCCACAGGTATTAAATGCTTGTTTTGATGAAAAAACGGAAATTTATTTAAATGCTTTGCGTTTGTTTTAAAACATTTTTAAACGAACGAAAATGCAAAAATTTGCATTCCGCTTTTGTTGCCTGCCTCCACTTGCTGTATGTTTTTACCCTGCTTTGTTGTTTACAAATTCGCAAATTGTATCTTCCTAATGATTTCAATAATAAAATTCAACATATGTTACTGCCGCTTTAGTTAAATGTAACGAGTTTGGAAAATCGTTTCTATTCCTTGAACTTTGCTTGATTGCTTCTTAATCCGGCCAATCATTTTATCATCTGATGAAGAACAGTTAATACAAAATATCCTTTTCGTTCGCTGATAACGGAAGAATAAAGATAATTTCGTTACAGATTATGGAATTCTTCAAAGCACCTCGAAATACTCTTCCGCTTTATTTGCTAACATTTTCAAAATATTGAAAAATATGCGTAGGAAACATATGTGTCAGCACTCCTCATCCAATTTTGCGTTTGGGTTTTGGTTTTTTATTCGATTCTCCCGCTACCATTAAAATATGGTGCACGTTGGGTTTCTCGTTGAAAAAATTCAAGCCGTCGTTAATATTTTTCGTTGAGAACCGTTCGTTTGCCTATTTCTTGCGCGTTTTGCATATTTCTTTCTTTCTTTGCGTACAGTATCTTGATCTGATTTAAGTTTGTATTTCAAACGTCTTACAAACTAACGCTGATCCTGAAAACGATGTTTAGTATATGAAATCAAGTTCTCGCTACAATTTGCATTAACATCTGCTTTCTGCCTTACGTTTTGTACTTTTCAAAATTGATAAAAAGACAATGCAAACAAAGTTCCAATAGCCTACCAACTAAAGACGGGTAAAGTGACTAAGAACTTTTCGTCACGTTATTCACATTATTCGTCACGTTATTCAGGTATATGGTTTTTTTCATAGTTACTCAACGACGAAAAAGCTCCGATAAAATGGTCTTAAACATTCGTTAAACATTTATTCAAATGCTCATCCGAACGCGTTCTTGGTCGATTGGAAGCGAAAGCGGCCCGAATTCGCACAAAGTTTTTTTACTTTTTGCATATTAGCCACCGCTCTTTCAGTTTTAGATCATTAGAAAGACGAGTTCCGATTTGATGAATCAATTTTGGAATCTCAGTTTGGTGACATAACGGTTTCCAGTACATCCCCAACCGTTTTATTTGACGGAGCATAATTATCCTTACAGAAATAATGTGAAAAAAAAATTAATTCTCTATTGCTCTCATAGCTTTCTTTCATAGCTTGCTTTCCAATTGCTGACAGTGTAAAGCCCTTTCAGAAACGTGGACACTCAGCGGGTAATCTTTTTACAGATATTTTTGTTAATTTGTAGCATTAAGCTAACACAATGGCTCAAACCATATCCAGATGATATATAATTCTAAGCCATCATCTTGCAAACGATAGAGAGATTTCATCTAAGTTTCTGTAAATGCCGTTTTTTGTATATAATTTTAAAAAGGTTGTCTCATAACGTAGTCATAAAATGACTACAGTATTTGCAAGCTATTATAAGCCTGATAGGCTAATTGACTGACAAATTCCCCTAATTACCTCATGAACGGCATATTTCAAAACCGTCTTTCATACAGTATTATGTCAATATGCTGGACGTATGCAACATATAAGCTTCAGATATTTGGTGTCGACTACCCTTAAGCCGAGAGCAAGACTGAAAAGTGGTTATAGTTGGAAGTATATGGCTACCAGATATTTCAATAATCATTCTAACAACCTGCTCTTCAATTTAAACGAAGACCGTATGTATATTTCAATCCTTCTTGCAAAAAGCCAAAACAAAATTTAGTACTACATCAAGTTATGGGTTTGGTTATGCGCGAGACATAATTGTAAACCAAACTTCCATTCCTTAATACGCTGCGAGGCAGCTGGAGCGACATTCAGTCAGCCTCATCAACGATTATGATTTTAAATGACGAGTTGGGCCGAACGTCTACACATGTGTTTTTCTTCATAGTTTTCTTAAGAACAAAAGAAAAACTAATTGATGGTCTGGTAACCAGATTTTAAGTCAACTTTTCAAACAATTTTGGTTCTATGTCTTTGGTAAAAAAATCGATATATACCGGGACGCTAAGAGGTCATCTAAACAAAAGAATTATTTTCCAAAAGTGGCCATGCCTTCCTTTTGTTTTTAAAAGATGAAATTACGCTTTGATATGGAAGAAGGCTATCTTAGGTTTGTGCGAATGAAGCGTACAAGAGGGCTGGAGATGGAGTCACCTCTTATTATACGGGCGTACATCGGTTCAATATTACTTTTCGAATTAATTTAACCTTGTCTGCCCATCTTCTTCTTTTATCCAAGGTCATAATTTTTCAAATATTTTGATGAAGTGTGGTACACTGACCTGTTTTGACCTAAGGATCAACACTATAGAATGTGGATTGCATTGGTTGAATTGTGGTTATATGAATAATTGTAGCGTAGGGTATTTAATATGCTGATTGCCCACTAAAATGTGCTCAATTGTTTACTATTAAATTTGTCAGGTAATAAAAAAGTCCCTTATCCCAAGATACAGATAATGAAAATGATCTTTTATTTCGTTCATATAATAATTATATCAGCTATATCTCCACATATTTCTTAACAAAAGCAGCAAGTAAGCTGGAAGTCGTGGGCTGAGAAGCTCTATTACATTTTATCTCTTGATTAATAAACAGATTCAACTATAATTAGCAAAAGAAGAGCAATTATAATATCAAACTTTATAACTGCTAATACCTGCATAATATAGATATTGAATCTATATGTTGTCTAAATGATATTAAATTTCCAAAAACTTATTTCGCACAAAATTAAAATTTTAAATCGAAAATTTTGCTCAAAGCCTTTACATCAATTTAATATTGTTTTTTGTTATCCGGTTGTTCGTGTCTGGTTTGGCTGTAAATATTGAACTCAAATGTAAATTTTATGCTTTCGTATGTAAATTTTCATGGTTAGATAAGTGAATTTTATTAAAATGATATTATATAAGTATAATGAGTGATTTGGCAGCAATGGTTATAGTAACTCTAAAGTTAATATATACACAACTTGA